AATACTAGATTTCGTTTTACCATGAAATCAAGGGCGTCAATCGTCAGCTTGAGAAAGGTTGTCCTGGTTGCCAGTAGATGCTGATGCAGGCAGGATATTATGTGTGCCTGGAACACGCACAACCAACAATCAGAGGATAAGAACCAACCAAGGTGCCCAGTGCTAGATACAAGTGATGTGGAAAAGACGGTTTGTCAGGGGGAAAGGGACGAGAGGGGAGAGGCGCGAAAGAGGGAATAGAGGGACCAGAAGGAAAGGGTCAATGCAGCCTTACCATAGAATTAAGGGCGCATTTCTTCAGCCCGAGGAGGGTGTTTCTGGCTCTCAGTAGCTGCTCGTCCAGGCAGTGCAGGATGAGTGATTGGGACACGCCCAACGACCAGAGGATGAGAACCACGGTGCTGCATGCCTTAGTGGGAATATACGCGTATAGCGTATATAAGCGTATCGTATATAAGCGTATCGTATATACGCTAATGTATATGCGCTAAATGCTCAAGGGTCGATTTGGTAATACGCTTTCTCTGGCAGGTAAAAAACTATCCCGGGCTGGGTGAAAAAAAGGTCGTGCTCAAGATTGGGAAGGCGTTCCCTATTCTCACTAAGACTTTCGTAGACTTTCCTAAGTCTGAACGGCGATTGGGGTGCAATGTGGAGTAGACACTAGAAGGAGAAGTAGGTAGGAATCGGAAGGAGTTCTGCTGTTAGGAAGCGGGAATGTCAACTAGAAATGACGACTGGAATTTTGCTGGCTGGTAAGTAGAGCGTGAGTGGGGTTTGGTAAGGGACGTTTTTGACAGGTTGGATTTCGTAGATCAGATGGGTTTCAATGCGGTACTAATCTAATGTTCAATTTTGAACTGCCTGCAACTTCGAAGGCACATTCCCGCTTCCCTAGACCGTCGAATTGCATTTCGACTTCGGCGAAATGCTCAGCAGAAGATTCCGCATCTTTCTGTATACAAGCAATTTTATTTCCTGGGCAGCCCGAAAAACTTTCTGATAGCGTATAGCGTATTAGCTAGCGTATAGCGTTTTGCGTACACACGCTAGCGTATATACACTACACGCTTTAGGGTTTGAGCGTATATTCCCACTTAGCTGCATGCGAGATACACGTGGATGAGCTGAAGGGGGGGGGCGCAAACGGAGGAGGGAGGGGTTGCATGTAGCTGCTGGTGCAGGTAGTGCATGATGCGTGCCTGAGACACGCCCAGTGACCAGAGGACAAGAACTAGACTGCTCCATGCGAGATACACGTGGATGAGCTAAAAGGGAGAGTTGTCAGGGGGGGTGGCGGGATGGAAACAGAAGATGTGGATGAGCTGATGGGTTGTCAGTGGGAAACGGAAGAGGTAAGGAGCGGAGAGAAAGACAGAGGTGAGGAGTGGAGGGAATGAAGGAAGTTGGTCCAGAGGATAAGCACTGTGGTGCTCCATGTGAGATGCATGTGGATGAGCTGAAGAGTTCAAGAGCGAAGTGAAGACGAAGGGGTTGGGCAGGGGACAACATAGGGAGGTGGTGTGATGGAAGGGACAATGAACAATATGGGAAGGGGTGACGAGGAAGAAAGAAACAAAACGACTCTTAAGCATTATATTCAATAAAATCACATACATACATGGCCTCTCACCACAATGTAAGTGTTGACGGTTGACGGCAGCAATTCGCTAAGTGTGGCAGGCAGATGGGTTAGATACGATGAGATGCTGGGCCACAGATTGGACTGCGCTGCTGCCTTCCCCTTATCTGTAGCGCCTGCCTCATGTCCTGAACCTGCGATAGTCTGGATAAAGAGTCATCAGTTAGAACAAAAACAGATGATCCCGAAAATGTTTTGAGATGTCTCAAAGGGTCAAGTCAAAAATAGAGTGGCACAGGTAGAGTGGTAAAGTGAGGGACTAATTGAGCCGAGTAACACAATATCATGTGAAGTATGATAACCCTCAAACTGTGCGGCAACTAGTAAAGTCTCAGACTAGCTTCTTCCTTTCCGTTTGTCTCCTAACCCAAACCCAAAACAGCATATGCTGTGATGTTCCGCTAGAAAGGCCTTGGGCTTACCTGCTGCTGTTTTACTCTGCCCTCTTCCGCTTTCGCTTGGTTGCTCCACGCTCGTCCATGCCTCTGAAAAAACAAAAAAGGAAAGGAAAAAGAATCTGCAGGGCTGGCGGTGACATGAGAACGGGAGGGACCCCCGGGCCCTCGGTCGTATCAACGCCGGATACTTGGCAGGAGCAAGCAATTGATACGCAATAACAGTAACACCAAAACAGCAACGTAATTGCTACACGCACTTGGTAGTCACTGTAGTCGTCCCTGTTGCGACCATACGCGGAAGCCGCTGCGAGCAGCGCAATCGCCGTCACCAGCAGCCTTACAAGCATCGCCACCCTTGCCAGCCTCGCGCTCGTCGCCATGACCGGAAGATGCGACAGGAGTCACTTTTCAGATCCCTCGATCGAATTTGCACCGCCTCGACAGGAACTTACAAAGGGAAAGATTCGAGAAAAACAATGTTGTTGTGCTCTGGAGTTGTGAACGCTTGAGTTCGGGTGTTCATCCTGCTTATAGGGAGCAGACTGGCGAGTCTGAATCTATACCTTCGGAAACATGCTGCTAGCGCGCAAAACGCTCTGTGTGCGCCAAGGCCCGGAATGGCGCAGCGACTCAGCAGAAGGGCGGAATCCAATTGCGAGCCGCGGCTTCTGATGGAGCCTACCGCGCGCTCTCCCCTCGCTCTCTCCACATCCTTCTTTCCCCACACCGCCTTCGCTCGCTCTCTTTTCCTAACCTCATCGCGCTAACCGTCACGTTCCATCCCGGCTCCGCCGTAACAAACTGCGCGCGACCCACTCCTGCGAGCAGGGATGCTCATGGGACAGGCGGGCGGAAGAAGCAGCGCGGAGGCATGCATGGTTGCGAGGAAGGATGCGGCAGGAGGGTTGCGAGGGGAGGGCTACGAGGAGGAGGGAACCGGCTCGTATGCATGGAGGAACGCGCGAGAAGCGGAGGGATCAAGGGAAAGACGAGGCCACGTGGCAGGGTAATGGGCTCAGGGCGGTTCCATACGTTTTTGAACGGTTATTACGCTGCACCAATTTGCACCGTAACACAACAAGTTCGACCGGGAACCGGAAAGGGAGAGTTTGCGAGAGGAGCTGTCGGTGAAGGAAGCCCAACTTGACGCATATCTGCGGGGGGGAAATGACGTATTGCAGCTGATGGGAGGAGAACGAGAGGTTACCAAAGGCTAGATTGCGTCAAAGGTTCTCACGGCGAAAGTAAAGATGCGGAAATCGAAGGCCATAATCCCGCTGCTGTCACATCAGGGGGTGGAGCATAAAGGGACGAGAGGCATCTTGGAGGTCGCCTCCAGTTTCTACACCTCTCTGTTTGCGGAAGCGCCAGCCTCCGGACTGCCTTGTTGGAAACCGAAGCCTGGGAAGACATTGAGAGACGAGGAAGCTTCCACCCAGGAAGCCGGCTGGACGGAGGATGAGATAAAAAAGGCACTGAAAGAGATGGCAAATGATAAAGCTCCCGGCGGAGACGGATTGCTGAAGGAGCTCTTCGAGCGCCACTGGGACCTGCTAAGCGAGGATTTCATGGGGTTCGTAAGAGATTTTGAAGCCACAGCGTCCCTGCCGGAGGAGGTGCAGGAAGCCGTGACGATCCTACTACATAAGAAGGGTCCTAAAGAGGAGATCCAGAACTACAGGCCAATCACACTGCTCACCAGCTCTTATAAGGTGTTGGCGAAGCTGCTGGCTAACCGAATGACGAAGGTCCTGGACAGGGTCATCTCCAAGGAGCAGTGCGGTTTCCTCCCGGGAAGAAGGTTGTCGGATGCGGTGTCGCTGGTAGCAGACGTGATCGAGGTGGCAAAAAACGACAACAAAGACTGGTACATTCCGATGGTGGATTTTCAAAAGGCTTTTGACTCTGTCTCCCGAACGTACCTCTTTGATACCATGTCTCTCATGGGTTTCCCGGAGACGTTCGTTCGGTGGTACAAAGGGCTTCACGATGGGTCCTTCACGCGGCTGCTTGTCAACGGCTGGCAAGGGGACCAAGTCGAGGTTGGAAAAGGAGTCCGGCAGGGCTGTCCGCTGGCACCCTATCTCTTCCTGTGCGCGGTGGAGCCGATCTGCCAGGAAGCGAAAAGACGGAAGTTAGGAATAAGCAACAACTACGGGGAAAGGCTGCCTTACCTGGGGTACGCGGACGACATGATGCTGATTTTAGACGGGAAGCGACAGATTGGTCGGGCGGAGAAGCTCTTGGAGGAGTTTGAGGTTTGTTCGGGGCTCAGAGTCAACAAGGAGAAATCGGCGCTGCTCCCGCTGGGGAAGAACCTGAATCGCAAAAGAGACGAGGAGTCAAGCCTCGCATGGGTCGACCCAAAAGATGCGGAGAGACTGCTGGGGGTCTGGATCTCACCCTCGGGGAGTGCGGAAGTCACGTGGGACAAAACGCTAGCCAGAGCGGCAGCTGAACTGCTGAACTGGCAATCTCATCACGTGACGACGACAGCTCGAGTAGCCGTGGTTAACTGCTACGTCTGCCCGATACTGGCCTTCCAAGGGCAGGTGTACCCCCCCTCGGAGGCGATCTGGAAGCGGATCATGAAGCTGCTGGTTAACTTCATCTCCGGGAACCAGGCCTCGGAGGAGCATCGGTTCACGCTCTGGAGTAGGGAGCTGATTTTTAGGCCACGGAAGGAAGGGGGCTTGGGTGTCAGAGACCCGTTCGGGGAACTCTCGGGCCTAGCGGCGAGGCGAGTGGGACTCCTTGTGCTTGGAAGCGGATTCCGAAGGGAGCTGGCGCTGGCGGCAGCGGATCTTCCGGATGGTTTTCGCTCTTTCTGGGCGCACGAGGATTTCCTGAAACAATGGAAGGGAATAAGCGTCAGATGGCGTCAAACATGCGAAATGTTTATGAAGTCGAAAATCATGGAACAAGGGCCGAAAACGAGGTGGGACATTGAGAAGGAACCTATGGTTTTCAATCGGCAAATACTGCCAAATGGGAAAAAGCCGCTGGGTCGTCAGAAGGTGGCGACAGGGCTGGAGCTGTACAAGCTGGGTGATCTGGTCTGCGCTGAATTGGACGGGACGAGAGTCATTAAATCCCTGGAGACGCTGACGAGAGAAATTGGTACCAAAAAGAAAGCAAAGCGGGCGCTGAAAGCTTTCGGCTGCATCCCGGAAACATGGAAGCAGAAGCTCCTGGCGCCGCTAACGGAGGCTGAGCTGCTGGCGGAGTCAGAATACGTGAAGGTAGAGGGATCCATTGTTCCCTGGAAAATTGACAAAGTGGAGCAAGGGGAGCTAGTCTGCCGAGCATGTGACTGCACGGGGACGCCACTAGAAGGAGAAGCGGAAAGGGTTACCACGCTGGACCCGTACACGGTGCAGCCGCTGATTGTTCGGGAAGGGCGGGTGATTGGAGCAGCTGGCCTACCCGAGGTGAGGCTAAGGGTTTCGGAGCTATGCGCGGAAGGCCAACTCCCCCTTTTCAAACTGCTGAGAGGGCTGTTCGAGGTGCCGCGTGGTGAAGCGCGGCAGCATGCAAAGTGGGCGGAAGATTGGGGGAAGCAGATGGATTGGGCCAGCATCATCAGAGTCCGGGACTCACCAGTGCTGCCGAACCGGGCGCGGGATGTCTTGCTTCGGCTACACTGCCGGAACCTACAGGTCGAGGTGCGGCTGCGGTTCCTGGAAGGGGTTCTGTGCCCGCACTGCGGAGAGGAGGAGACAGCAGAGCATTGTCTGTTCAGCTGCCCCCGCATCCAGCCGGTGGTGAAGGGTCTCTTGAAGGCAGTACGGATGGTTAACCCGGGCAGGAGGATAAAGTCGCTGGGTGACCTGCTTTTTCAGAAAGAGGCTACGAGGTCAGGTTTCCCAGAAACTACAATCATCGCTACTACTCTTAATAAGCCGTGGGTGGAGAGGTGTGATGCAGCCTTCAACCATAGTGGTTTCCGCTCAAGAAGAGTCTTACGTAAAATCGCAACTGCTTTCTACACGCACACGAGGATCTACCTACGGATGAGGAAGAGGAAAAATCGGGCAGGTGGAGCAGAGGGTCTTGGTCAGCGCTCAATCCTGGAGCCGCTGGACCCGGACGAATTTCGGGCGTTGAGCAACATCTGTGACAACTCAGCCAAGTCGCTTGCGTGGACGCATGGCTTTACCTCCATCTGGGCCAACCCACGCACGATCCACCATCCCCCTTAAAGGTTCAAGATGGGTACAACAGCTTAGGTTGTCCAGGCCCATCAGCCACAGTTATGACTGTCAAAGCTTGTATGCACCTTTATAGCGTATATGGCTTAAAAAAAAAAAAAAAATCGACCGCGATGAACGTACAAGAATGTTGAAAGTTGAACACCCTCCAATTGACTGGCATGCGACATACCAAATAAGTATGACCTTTTAGTAACTGTTTCTTGTACATACAGCACCGTAAAACTATCGCGTATGATCCCAGCCAGTTTCAGAGCCTCCTCCAGATGCGTTTAGGGCGGATCTAGAGCGTACGTTTCGGTTGCGCTACAGTTCATCCTGTACGGATACTCTTATTGCCTCACGGTTCAAAGCGGTGAAGATCTAAAACCGCTGTGCACCTGCTGATATCGTCTTGAACATTGACGGATGAACAGTAAAGAACCTGTAAACGTACGCGCTGGACCCGCCCTAATTTCTGGAGAGAGTGGAACAGCCCAGTATATCTCAACGGAACGTAGCAAGCGAGGAAACGACAAAGACGAAACGGGAAAACGACAAACTGCCCGGGGCAAAAAAACTAAACCCCAGACGGGCGGCATGCCATTCGGGAGCCTCAACCCTAAAATTTTAGGGTTTACCCTCCCGAATGGCATGCCGGTCGCTTCGGGGTTTAGTTTTTTTCTGCCCAGGGCAGGGTGACGCTCCCGAAAGCGTCACCCCCGAGCGTCACCCCGGGCAAAACGGAGCGTCACCCCCGGTTCCGTTGAGAGATACAGACACTTCCCGCGTGGTGCTATACTAGCACCTGGATGAGCCTCCTAGTCACGGCACTCCAAGGTAATGCGAGCCTTTCGCTTGCACCGCCTGCGACCGCCTTGCTCCGCGGATACCGGCGCCTCGCAGCAATGCATGAGATACTTCCGTAACCCGACGACTTCATTACCGTTTCAACCCACCCGAAACCACCAAGAACCTTCCGCAACGGACACATTGCCGGCCAGCGGCACATTCCGAGCAGCAGGCACGTTGCTGAGTTACCACCCCGCAGCCGCAAGAAAATCTCCGACCGCGATCCCGACACACGCACAAGCGAGGTCTCCGACCGTTATCCCGTCGCACACACGCATAAGCGATACATATTTTGAGTCGACTCTAGACCCGACGCACGCACGCACAGGAAATACGTCTCGTACGATCGTCCGCGCGTCCTCGCATAATCCCTTATCCTCCACTTCTCACGGCTTTTCCGCTTCCAGGTTCAGCTTCAGCTGTTCTGAACCGTTTATTATACATCCAAACCGTTATCATCCGACATTTTTTCCCGGAACCGCATCGCCTGCTGGCTATTTGGGATTGGCCCGAATTCCCCATCGTATCACGTCACAGCACACCCATAAGCGGCTAGCCGGTCAAATGGACGGCCAACCGCAGCGGCAAGAGCTCAGATCTGACGGCGAGCCCAGGGAGGAGGAGTTCAGAAACGGAGAGGCGAATGCGACGGCCGGCGAGATGGCAGATTCGTGTCTGACATGCACCTTCCTTGTGCTCTCGTTTCAATCGTTCTGCTGTGAGAGAGATGCGCGAGCCCTCTGTTCGGTTGTGTGAGGGAGCAGGGGACGCATGAGCCACTAGCTCTCTACCTCTGAGAGATGCATTTGCCGCTCCCTCTCTTGCGGTTATCATCATGATGCTGTATTGGAGATGCTGTCGTGAGTGGAAAAGGCGTGGTGAGCCGCTCTCTTGCTGTTACATCGCGGGCGGAATCATGATGCTGTTTGTGAATCATTCACGCGGAACTCTTTGGATGGAGTGTCAACATCCCTTATCTCGATTTCACCCTTCCCTGCTGAACTCCCACCTTCCCTTCTCCTCCCCTTCCCTACCGATCTTCCATACCCACCCTCCAGGTTCCACCAGCAACTCTGTCTCCCGGGCCCATGCCTTCTATCTCACCCGCGCTGCCTTTCAACTCCTCTTTTTTGTATCTTCTTTTGCTCTCCCCCTTCCCCTTGTTCCCGTTTCCCACTCCCTCCCTTCTCCCCTTCCCTCAGGCACCACCAATGGCTCAAACTCTCCTCCCCATCCCACCCCTCCCCTCTCCCTCCTCTCCCTCCTCCTCCTCCGCCTATCCCGCGCCCTCACAACCCTCCCCACGCCCTCCGACCTGCGATTCACGCTCCTCACCATCATCGCCATCTCGCCTCTCGTGTACCTCTTCGCCTCCTGGGCTGACGCCTTCTACCTCCCCCAAGCCGGCTTCCCCATCTCCCTCATCCTCTTTGTCTTCGTCTTCCCTTCCTTTTGGGAGGAGCTCTTCTTGAGGGTTCTCCTCAACCCGCATCCTGCCGAGCCCCCCTCTCCTCTACCCACATGGCTTCACACTCGCATCACTTCCCTCCTCTCTCGCGCCTCCTCCCTCCTCGCTCCTTTCGTCTCCTCCGTCCCGATTCTGCGCTCCTTCCCGCTCCCTCGGGATTGGCTCGCGGATCCGAAAGTGTTTTATGGCATTGTTTCAACATCCTTATATGTCTTAGCGCATCCCTTTCTAGCGTGGTTAAACTGACCTGCTGCTATAAGGTTATTTTCGCATCCGGGGCTCCTGCTCTGCTGTGTCGTGCTTGGGTCGGCGTGTCTTGTGGTGTACAGGAGATCTGGGTCGGCCTGGGCGGCAATCTTGGTGCACTGGATGGCGGTGTCTGTCTGGATGTGCTTGGGAGGAAGGCACCAGGCACCATTCTGAAACGTTACACAGACTGATTTATATCATTTGTACTGTTTCTTATAATGAAGAGACTTGTATTGATTGCTCCAGCAGAACACATGGCATGTTTCGTAGTTACACATAATACCATGCAAGCGTGGGTATTATAAGGTACTCCATAAAGATACCCGTATCAAACTTCAAAACACTGATCTCCCCTCAACCACCTCCCCTCATTTGCCTTTCTTGCCCTTCTCACCCCCCTCCCGCACTCTTCGCTCCTCCCGAATCTTCCTCTTCTGCTCCGCCCTCTGCTTGGCCTGCTCCTCAAACCCGCTCTCTGACACCTTCAGCAGTGCCGCCCTCCGTGCCTTGAACACCTGGGGAAAACAAGACAAGACAAAAATGACAAGAACGCGAAAATAAAATAAGAAAATAGGAAAAAACAAACTTTTACACCAGCACCACTGTACGAGCCTTCCATGCAGCATCGGCACCAGCGAGAGAAAGGCAGGCGAGCAGGCACGCACTAACAGAGAATCGACACAACAATAGCCATCTCCCCTTGCTCACGCTGTCACGCTTTCTTTCACCAGATGCTGTGCACCAGATGCACGTCGTACTGGCATGGGAATGGGAGGAGGGGGGAGGGGGGAGGGGGGAAGGAGGATATAGGGAGGCAGCATGCATGAAGGGGCATGGGGCACAAGAGAGGCCAATGAGCTTCTCGATGCTGTGCACCAGATGCACGTCGTACTGCCATGAGGATGAGAGAGAGGGAGGGACGGGCGGACGGAGGGAAGGAGGGATTCGAAAACGAGAAGTGGTAAAAAAGCAGGCTCGGTTCAAACGGCCTAATGCTTCTTTTGTGGTTGCTGTCGCCCCAACTACCACTTGCAGCTCAATTGTTGCGCACAACAGCAGTCACACTCATCTAAGTCGCTGCTCCCACCCAGAAAATACTAACAGCACCCTCGCCATTCATTATAGTCACACTCACCTGAGTCACCACGCTGATAGCTCGTCCGCCCCTCCCTGCTCGGGCTGTTCGCCCCACTCGGTGCACATAGTCCCGAGTGAATTTGGAAATGGGCAGATACGATAGGGTGGGGGGTGCGAAGTGTTTTCTGTTGAGAATGCTAGGCAGGAATGAATTGACTAGATCATGGTTTGGTACAAAAATGAGACCCTAATGGGGTTGTACCCCTTGTTGGCTACCCCACTACAGCCTACACATATATAACATGCATATAATTTGACACACCCCCATAGGCAAAGTGGGGGAGAGCAAGGGGTCACAAGACCAGGCAAGAAAAGCAAAGAAAACTCAGGGTGGATCACAACGTCACCACACGCACTGAGCACAAACAAAGGGCCACACGGCCAGTTCACATGCAGAGGTATATGTGCAACAAGAACAGCACAGTGATCACTACCTAGCAAGAGCAAGGATGCTGGTATATATATATAGATCACAGTACAAGCAGAGCCTACAGCAAGTGTGGAAACGTAGGCACAAGGCCCAACAAAGTACAAAAGCGCTGATGGTCACCAGACGGAAGTGCCTTGGTAAATATATCAGCAGTGTTGGCCCGAGTGGCCACGTGTGCAAGACGAAGCTGACCACGCTGCTGCTTTTCTCGAGCCAGGTAGTAACGCAGAGCGATGTGCTTCGTTCTGTGCTCCAGTCTGTGCTCCTCATACAAGGCAATGGCGGCCTTGTTGTTGACGTACAGAACTGGAGGAGAACAAGGCCTCTCTCCCAGGTCAGTCATCAGGTAGGTGAGCCAGCGTAACTCCTGTACAGCCATGGATGTGGCGTAGATCTCAGCCTCACAACTGGAGCCGAGAACAGAAGAAGAGCGAGTAGAGCGCCAAGAAACAGAGCCAGAGCCAAAGCTGAACGTGTAACCCTATGACGACCGCTGCGTAGCCAGGTCGTCAACCCAAGACGCGTCTGAGTGCCTAGTGAGGACCACGTCTCTCCGCCCTCCAAGCACGAGCCCCATGCCCGATGTACTGCACAGGTAGCGCAGTACCCTCTTCGCAGCATCCATGTGCACCTTTCGGTGCCGACCAGGAGCCACATAGCGGGCCAGAAGGCCAAGAGGGTACGGAAGGTCAGGACGAGTGCAGGTCATCAGGTACATGAGGCAGCCTACTAGCTCTGGGTAAGGACCACATGGCTCTACGGACTCGTCCGAAGGTGGAGCTGAGAGCGAGTGACCTGTAGCCAGAGGAGTGGACTGTGGCGAGGACCAGGTGAAGCCGAAGCGCTGAAGGACCTGCTGCACCATGTGTGACTGAGTCAGTGTGATGGTGCGGCGTGCTCGGTCCTGGGTGATTTGCAAGCCAAGGTAACTGCGCAGCTCACCCAGGTCAGTGCACGTGTGTCTCTTCTGCAGCTCCGACTTCACCAGGGCGAGAGTCTCAGTGTCAGCAGTGGCAAAGACCAAGTCATTGATGTACACGAGGATGTAGAACGGCGGCAGTGAAATGTCGGTGCACAGAAACAGCGATGGGTCAGCTGTCGAAGGTGCAAACCCAAGAGCCGCAAGTGTAGTCCTTAGTGTGTCGTGCCACTCATGAAGCGCCTGGCGGAGACCGTAGACTGGCCGGCGGAGGCTCCACTGGGTACCAGGAGGGAACGACCGAGTGAAGCCAGGTGGGCAGCGCAGCCAGATCTCCTCGTGTAGGCTGCCCTGTAAGAAGGCTGTGCTGAAGTCTAGCGAGTGAAGCTCGTAGTCACGTTGAGTGGCAACGTGCAGCAGTACCCGAAGAGTGGTCATCTTCGGGGTGGGGGAGAAGGTCTGGAAGAAGTCGACTCCCTCTCGCTGTCTGAAGCCTCGAGCAACGTAACGAGCCTTGAAGACAGGCAGAGAACCCGGCGGCCGCTTCACCCTGAAAATCCACATGCCATCGACAATGTTCGTCCCAGGAGGGGGAACCTCATCGACGTAAGTGCCTGTGGACTTCCAGGATGCCATCTCTGCGTCCATGGCTGTCTGCCATTGAGAGGAGTAGGGATCCGCGATCGCCTTAGCATAAGAGCGCGGGGTAGGGATGTCTGGTGCATCCGGGTCTCCCTCAGGGGCAAGCAGCATGGCCACGAGATGAGGCGCAGCGGCCGCAAGACACTCAAGGTCCTCCTGTCTGTCCTCAAGGACGTCCGTGCTAAGAGCACACTCACCCCCGACGGACGGAGGACAGACAGACTCAGACTCAGCAACAAGACTAGCAGTGTAGTCGAGACGACAGGCAGCAGCAAAGTCAACAAGCTCAACGACCAAGGCAGACGCAGCAGCAGACTCAAACGACGGGTCAGTGACAACAGTGGCTAACAGACGCGTGACAGTAGGGTGTGCAGCACGAAACCGGTCAGACTCAGGGTCCGCAACGTCAGGCAGAGAGGACGCAGGAGGAGACGGCAAAGGAACACGCTGCGGAGCAGAGGAAGGACGACGGACTACGAGATGCGCGCCGGGGACAGCCGGCGAACGCAGACGAGGAACACGACGACTGGTACGACCAGAACGGACAGGCGAGAGAGGACGTGACGCAGGCTCACGACGCTCAGCAAGACACCCTGTCTGCTCAGTGTAAGGAGAAGGAGCAGGCAGCGGTGAGCCAGGCTGTAACGGAAGTCCAGTAGAAGACGGGAGGCGAAGTACAGTGTTAGGCGGTTGCTAAGACGACGGAGACGGCGGAGCAAAGAACAGTCGCGGCTGTGCCGTGCCACCAGCACCAGCAGCTCCAGCACCTCCAGCAGCTCCAAAATCTCCTGCGCCAGCTCCACCAGCAGCAGCACCCCCAGAACCGGCACCAATAGTCCCTGGGTCTCCAGCCTCAGTGTCTCCAGCAGCAGCACCCCTAGAACCGGCACCTGTAGTCCCAGGGTCTCCAGCCTCAGTGCCTTCGGCACCAGCACCCCCAGACACAGCACCTCCAGTCCCACCAGCTCCAGTACCTCCAGTACGAGCACCTCCGGGAGACAAAGAACCAGCACCACTCCCAGCGCCAGTGACGTCAGCAGAAGTACCTCCAGCGGCAGAGCCCCGAGCTCCAGCAGCGCGACCCTGACGGCGACCGTACCAGTCGTGCAGTTGCTGGGAGGTGAGAGGCACACGCGGACGAAGGCGGCCACTCCAAGGAGACCGCGCACCAGCAGTCTCCGTACCCTCAGGCGTCGCACCCCCAGGCATAGTACCTCCAGTCTCCTCACGCTCAGGCTCAGTACCGCCAGGCTCAGCACCCCCAGGCTCCTCACGCTCAGGCGCAGCACCCCCAGACTCCGCACTCCCAGGCGCAGCACCCCCAGACTCCTCACCCCCAGGCTCCGCACCCCCAGGCTCAGCACCCCCAGGCTCCGCACCCCCAGAGACAGCACCCCGAGCAGGACCACCTCAAGCAGGACCTGAGTCACCAGTCACCTCAACAGGCGCAGGCACGAGAGGGTCTACCTGAGAAACACCTGAAGGAGCAGGACCTGGCACGGGGAGGGGGTCTACCTGGGGAGGACCTGGAGGAGAGAAAGAGCGGTGGGGGGCAGTGCGGTAGGGAAAGAGACGGTAAAAGGGGACTGACTCGTCAAAGGTGACGTCCTGAGACGCAAAGACACGGCGCGAGGCGGGGTCGTAGAACTGCCAGCCAGGCGCGTCAGGAGGAAAACCAAGGAAGATACAGGGAATGGCGCGAGCGGAGAGCTTGTCCGCGGTGGTATCGCGGACAAAGGCACGAGCACCCCAGACCCAGAAACGCGACGCATCGCCAACCTCCCCCGTCCACAGCAGTGTGGGCGAGGTCTCCAGCAAGGAGACACGGGGCCAGAGGTTGAGCTGATGCGCGGCGTACCGGACCGCAAACGGCCACAGAAAATGGGGGGCAGCCGCATAGATCATGGAGGTACGAGCGACCTCCATGACTAAGCCAATGCGTGAACGACTGGCGGATGCCGTGCTCCTCACAGAAGGCTCGCAAGAGGTCGGAGGAGAACTCACCACCTCTGTCAGAGTGCAGGCGCAGGACAGGAAAGTCCGAGTGGAACCGCTCGCGGAGCTGGAGATGAACAGCGCGGATCCAAGGGATCAGAACATCAGGGACCTGACCCTTGCTACGCAAGGGGAAGACCGTGGTGTAACGCGTGTAGTCGTCGACGACCAGCAGGAAGTACCGCTCATGGCCCTGCCCCAGGACACGGGCCGGGCCCCACACGTCCAGGTGGAGAGTCTGCAGCGGAGCCTCTGTGAGAGGGAACGAGGAGTGAGGAGCGGCACGCTGCCACCCCTCGACGCAAGGAATGCAGGGTGGCACAGGCGAGGGAGGGAGGGCCAGCAATGACCTGGGAAGACCAGAGACCAGTAGGCGAGAGTGTATGCCACGAAGGCGGGGCAGGGAGGGGTGACCAAGGCGGTGGTGCCACAGGAGAGTGTCGTGCGACAGGCGGCGACACTCACACTGGGTAGCTACCTGAGCAGACGCGTACAGCTGGGGAGACAAAGGGGTGTAGCGTGAAATAGTGGTGAGGGTGTACAGACTGGACCCAAGCTCACGAGTGAACGTGGCCAGGTGGCGGCCAGTCTTGGAGCACGTGAGGATCGCCACACGCTGTCCTCCAGGAGTCCAGGTGTCAACCCAGTGATCCTGAAGGACGGCGTTGCTCACCAAGTTCGTAGAGAACGAGGGGATGTGGAGACCTGACATCTCACCAGACGGGACCGTCGGGCACGGAAGCACAGTCGTGGCTCGTGCAAGCACTGGGCCCCCTGAGGGGTCAGCCAGTGAGACAGGGACAGGTGCAGGGAGGGGAGTGACTGTGGTACTATCGCGAAAGAAACGACGAGAAGCACCAGAGTCAAGCGTAAACGTGTGCAAGGCCTGAGCCGACACAGTACCAGAGAGGGCAGACTCATCAGCACCTAGAGCTGCAGTCTCTATACCTGGGTCAGGCGGGACACGCAAGTAGCAGTCATCCTCAGCACTAACAGTCAATGCATACATGGCAGCAAGAATCGCATCATAGTCAAGATCAAAGATAGGAACATCACGCCTAAGCAGCTCTGCCCAGTTGGGGAACTCAGTAGCATCAGGATACTTGGCGCGCCAGGCATCGCTAAGCTGAGCGAAGCAGCGGTACTCAGTGTGAAAGCCGTTGCATGTGCGACCAGCGCGGGGACCTGCGCGAATGATATAGGGGCAGCGGCCAGAACCCCCAGACGCCCCACGCCCGGCATACCAGTCATGGAGCTGCTGAGAAGTGAGGGGCTGGCGCTGCTGCGGCTGCTGCTGCTGCTGCTGGCCACCACTGGAGCTCCCCTTCTGGCCGGTCCCACTCCCGCCCCCACCTCCACCGCCACTACCGCTGCCTCCTCCCCCACTACCGCCGCTGCCACCTCCACCGCTCCCGGTCCCACCGCCGCCCCACTCACCTCCTCCACCCCCACGACCACCCCCACCACCTCCACCACCCCCGCCGCCTCCACCACCACTCCCTCCACCGCCACCTCCACCACCCCTGCCACCCTTGCCGCCCCTGGTACCGCCGCGCTTCCCACTAGGAGTGGAAGCAGCTGCGACCTTCTCAGCACCGAGGAGGTCGACTGTAGCAGCAGCAGAGGCGTAGGAGGGGCAAGAGGGGAGGGGGAGCACCCCTCAAAGAGGGGAGTGCGAGGAGTGCCGCGAGCAGCACCTACAGCAAGAATTTTATTTTCAGCTGCTAGGAGCTGCTGCTCGAAGTCGGCTAGAGTGCTAGTGTTGGTCTTTGGCGAGGAAATGGTCCCTGGCCAAACTAAGAGTGTCAGGGAGGCGGGTGACGAGGATGTAGAGGGTAAAGTACAGCGGGGGGGTGTTCGTGGCGAGGAACTCGTCTGTAAGAGCGGCACGAAAGCGGGCGTCACTAGCACGGAGGTGAGAGATAAGGTCCTCAGCGGTGGCAAACGAGGACAGGTCGGGGAACAGGTAGGGCAGGATGAGACGACCTACGGCTGCAGTGGCTGGGGATGAATAGCGCGCAACTGTCATACAGCGCCTTAGCAGTCTTGTGCTGGCTAAAATGCGCGCGCTTAGTGATCGGTAGATGGTTGCGGATAGCAAGGCGTGCACCAGCATCGCGAGTCTGCCACTGTGAGCGATCAAGAGCAGGGGCAGTGTCAGCAGGAGCAACGGCAGCGCCAGATGCGTGATCGAACAGTGAAACGCCGTCTTTGGCATCAGTCATAAGAAACAGTTGCAGATCGTCGAGCCAAGTGGCAAACTCTATCGGGCGACCGTCAGGCTCAAACGCGAGAACATTTAATGTCGCCATGATTGCAGCGCAGGCAAAGGCAGCAGGAACAGGCAGTAGGCAAAGGTAGCAGACACAGGCGGCAGGCACAGGCGGCAGGCACGAGCGGCGCGAAAAGCAGCGGAAACCCTAAACCCTGGCGGCAGGTACATGCGGATGCGGCGCGCGGGGCAGCAGTGCGCTGCGCGAGCAGCAGACGCGACGCGCGGGGCCTAGGCGGGCTGCGCGCGGGCGGTAGGCGCGGTGCGCGGGGCCGTAGCAGGCTGCGCGGGCGGCGGAAGTGACGCGCGGGGCCTAAGAGGGCCGCGCGCGGGCGGCAGACGCGGCGCGCGGGCGGCGGGCGTGGCGCGCAGGGCCGTAGTGGGCTGCGCAGGCGGCAGACGCGGCGCGCGGGGCAGCAGTGAGCGCGCGGGCGGCTGAAGCGGCGCGCGCGCGAAAAAAAAAAAAAGGCAGCGCGCGCGGGCAGCGCAACGCAGGCAAGGCAGGGCGCGCGCGTGATGCGCAGCGCAGGCAAGACAGGCAAGGCAGGTGGGGCAGCTCAGTAACCGCAACGGTAGGAGGGCCCGAAGAGAAACGGTCCTACGGACCTACTGCTCTGAAACCATATTGAGAATGCTAGGCAGGAATGAATTGACTAGATCAGGGTTTGGTACAAATATGAGACCCTAATGGGGTTGTACCCCCTATTGGCTACCCCACTACAGCCTACACATATATAACATGCATACAATTTGACATTTTCAGGGACCCTAAAAAGGCACTCCCTGCACGGGCTGTTCGTCCCACTCGGTGCACATAGTCCCGGGTGAACCTGGAAATGGGCAGATACGATAGGGTGGGGGGTGCGAAGTGTTTTCAAGGACCCTAAAAAGGCACTCCCTGCTCGGGCTGTTCGCCCCACTCGGTGCACATAGTCCCCTGTGAACCTGGAGATGGGGTGGGGGGGAGGTGGGACAGGGTAGGGAATGACCGGGTAGGACCCAGGGTTTAGGGTAGGGAATGACCGGGTGTAGGGAGTTTCTTGAAGCATCGCATGAAGACCCTCCCTTCTTGGGCTGTTCACCCCACCCTGTGTACATAGACTGGAGTGAGCCCGGGGGTTGTGCTACACCAACCCCCGGGGGTTGTGTTACAGGGTATTGAATGACCATGTTGGAGAGGAGATTGAAAGACCAAGGCAACTCAGACCAGCACAGTGCTCACCTGGGGATGTCGTAGTTGATCACCTTATCAGCAGTCGGAATGTCCAGCCCTCTGCTGGCGATGTCTGTGGCCACCACGATACCTGATAATAAACCAGCAGTGCGCCCATTTTCTCACCTGGGTATATCGTAGTTAATGACTAAATCCACGGCAGGAATATCCAGCCCTCTACTGGCAACGTCAGTGGCCACTAGAATGGGCACTTGGGACGCTTTGAAGCGGTGCAGAGCGGCTGAGCGCTTGCGCTGGGGCAGCAGGGCGTGGAGAGGCGCATTGGAGAGACCCACTTCGTCCAGCAGAGCACTCACTGCTTGACATGACCTGAAACATTGGGGCGTTCAGGGGAGATAAGAGTAAGAGGAGGGAGGATTTGAGCAGCCTTGAAAGGGTGTAGAGAGGCTGAGCGTTTGCACTGAGGGAGCAGGGCGTGGAGAGGCGCGTTGGAGAGACCCACTTCGTCCAGCAGTGCGCTCACTGCCTGGCAGGACCTGGCACATGGGGATTGGGTGAGAGGAGGAGAAAAGAGGACGAAGCAGAGCGTTGAGGGGCCTTGAAGCGCTGCAGGTATGCCAAGACATGCACTGGGGGAGGAGGGCAGTGCACTGACGGCCTGGCAGGATCTGGGAAGGCGAAAATGGAGAGGTCGAGGCGGGGAAGAGGGGGACAGGAAACCCGAGGTATGAACCGATGGGCAGTAGCCGACCAATTAGGCAAGAGACTTTGGGCTCAGATTTTTCCGGAAAAAAAAAACCAAGGAAATGCTGGAAGGCTGATTGGCAGGAGGAGCGACACAAACCGAGACTAGAGACATAAAAAAATCCAAAACAAAATCCGCACATAGGCAGGAGTAGGAGACATTGGGCCCAGGCAGTGGCGAGTGGGACAACGGCCACCACGATCACAGCACACATTGTGGGCGTGCAGCAGCAGAGGCGGGGAAGGGGAGTTTTGAGTCGACTCAACGGTCATCTCACAAGGGCCGCCACGATGACATAGAGCACATGGTGGGCGTGCAGCAGCAGAGGCGGGGAAGGGGAAGTACCCTTTCAAAACACCTGCTACCGCATCACAATTCCCAGTTTGAGTTTGCTTACTGGCATGACGAGGTGAACACGATAACCGACCGCACGGGCGGACGGGCAGCAGCAGATGCGGAGGGGGGCGGTGCGGGGGGGAGGATGGTTTGGAGGGAGGGGAGGAGGCGGGAGAGGAGGCGGCAGAGGTACATGTCCCGCAAGTTGGCAGGCAGGAAGAGGTAGGATTGATCCAAGGCTTCCACCGTCTTAAAGCCCTCGTAGGCCTCGAAATGGAACAGCTTCTTGGACTTGCTCATCACCTGCACAGAGCACTCACATGGACGAGAAAACAAGGTATGGGATGGGTCAACCGGATGTGGGAGCGCAGGTGCAGAGGTACACGTCTCGCACGTTGGAGGGTAGGAAGAGGTACGTCTGGTCCACCGCTTCGACTGTCTTGCTCTTGCTCATCGCCTGTAGTCATGGGGTGCAGTGCACAGAACACGAGGCAAATAACATCCCAGGAAGTACCAGAGCAATGAGCATGGGATGGCTGGGAAGACGTAGGTCTGGTGCAATGCTTACACTCAACTGTCTTAAAGCCCTAGAAGGTCTCAAAAGGAGAAACTCCTGGTTGGCCTTGCTCCTGGTCAGCATCGTGCCGAGGTATCACGTGATAAAAGTGTTGTTTTGAGACGTCAGCATCGTGCCGAGGTATCACGTGATAAAAGTGTTGTTTTGAGACGTTAGCATCGTGCCGAGGTAAGGCATCAGTGGCCAGTGAGTGCCGAGGTAAGGCATCACTGGCCAGTGAGTGCCGAGGCTGAAGTCGCCAGGACAACATCAAAGTGAAGGATGCAGAGACGAGCACTGAAGCAGGAAGGGACCTTCAGGCTGTTCCGAAAGGAGCAATGCGATTGGTTTGGCACGTGCAATGCACCTCCCACCTTCGGGCATGCAGGTTGGCAGGCAGGCAAGCAGTAAAGGTGGCAGGCAGCGAAGGGCAGCGTTTGACTCATGCAGCGTCTAGTGAATACGCAGTGCGGGTGCTGTCAGTAGTGGACAGGTGGGCTCGGAGGTCATATTTCCATAAACTTGAATGGTTCTAGGACGACGGATCAAACCCCATGAAATGAATGAGATGAACCAAATAAAGGTGGCAGGCAGCGAAGGGCAGCCTTTGACTCATGCAGCGTCTAGTGAATACGCAGTGCAAGCGGCACATGAGATACCCATCTTCAGCGCATGCAGGTTTGCCTGTGAGGCATCCTAAAGCGGCAGCCACCCACCTTCAAGGCGTGCAGGTTGGCGGTGAAAGTGGCGGAGAACAGCAGCGTCTACCTCTCTTTTGGCATCCTCGCCAAAATCGCCCCTATCTCCTCCTCGAAGCCTCGATCTAGCAAGCGATCTGCCTCATCCAAGACCAAGAACTGCGGGGGGGAGGGGTGGGGGGGAGAGCGGATAAGGGACAGGAAACACAGATGAGGGGGAGGCGGAGGGGAGGCGGAGGGGAGGCGGAGGGGAGGCGGAGGGGAGGCGGAGGGGAGGCCGAGGGGAGGAGGAGGGGAGGCGGAGGGGAGGCGGAGGGGAGGCGGAGGGGAGGTGGAGGGGAGGCGGAGGGGAGGCGGAGGGGAGGCGGAGGGGAGGCGGAGGGGAGGGCCGGGAGGTGAAGAAGAATCGCCGCTATCTCCTCCTCGAACCCGCGGTCCACCTCCAATGTGCGGTCCAGCAGGCGATCGGCCTCATCCGACACCAAAAACTGCAGGGAGGGAAGGGGGGGGGGGGGTGAGAGGAAGAGAGGGAAGGAGGCATAGACGAGAGGGAGCGGGCGGGAAGACGGCGGGAAGGGGCTTCTAGAAGCCTCGGTCGAACAGGCGATCAGCCTCGTCCTGTTCGAGACCAAGAAATGCAAAAAGCAGAGAAAGTCAAGAGAAGGAGGTGTGGAGAGGAAAAGCAAGCACCAACAAGGGGGCAATAGAATCAGCAGCAGTAGAATAGAATGAACTACCCAACGTACCGCACCCATGCATACCGCACCCGCCGACGTGCTGGCTGCTGAAAATTCGTCCCGTGCTCGCCTCCTGCTGTAGCATCTCCCTCAGTCAGACTTCGAGGCGCCCCTTCACTTTGTTACACACATACCACCCTGTTATACTTACTGGAGGTTGGTTCTCCCACGCACCACACCAAGCCCACCCGCCCACCTGCAGGTTGCTGAAAATTCGCCCCATGCTCGCCTCCTGCTGCATCATCTCCCTCAATCGCCCTGGCGTTGCCACCACCACGTGCGGCCGGGCCGACAGTTGCATGGCCTGATGAGGCAGATGGGCAGGCAGGGGCACGCGGGAGAAAAGAGGGGAGAGCGGCAGGTGACTAGAGAAAGGGTGCATGCAACGAGGTACCAAACATCTCCCTCAGCTGCCCCGGCGTCGCCACCACCACGTGCGGTCGGGCCGCCAGTTGCATGGCCTGAGGGGCATGCGAAGGGGGGAGCAGGAGAGAGGGGAGAGGGAGAAGCGGTTGGGGGTTTGAGGGAGGGGGGGAGGGGGGAAAAGGGAGAGGGGAGAAAGAGGGGAGAGGTTCATGTGCGAAGTGAAGTGAGGGCGTATCCAGGTTCGGGTCATGAGCACTGTTCCGGGCATGCGCGATTTGCGGATGACCCAAACAACATAGAACGCATGTTTGGGTCATGCGACGCCCATATTGTCGCGAGGGTTTTCGCGCCAAAATTCAGCTCACAACAACAGTCGCATCCAATGGAGGGATGCCAGAACATTTCGAAAGGTCATTAGCGAGACCCACGCAAAACCACGTGACACTCACTGAGAAAACACAACCCCCAAAATTCCCGGAGCGAATTCCCAAATGTTGGGAGCGCGCCGCGAGAAATTTTAGACACACTCGGGGTCAATTTGCCGAGTGGTTGGGTGCAGAGGTGTCAGACGTGGGAAATTGCCCACGTGTGACGCTCGACTGCCGATCGACAAAAAGTTGGCAGTAACACCACAATCGTGCAACCAGGTGATTGGCTGTGGGTGGGTCGTGCACGTCAGTCGCACAACACCTACACATTGACCCAAAGCCGGGGCCGCACGCGGCTCGGCAGCCCACTTCGGGTCATGCGCAAATTCCGCATGACCCAAACAGTAGCCAGAACAGTGCTCATGACCCGAACCTGGATAAGCCCTGAGAGTTGCAATCGCATTGGAACACCGTCACTCAACAACCTAGAGGCATGCCGGCGGCAATAGGTAGGACCACTACCACTACAATGTCTGACTGACCCGCTAGTTGCACAACCCAAGGGGCAAGCGAGGGGAGAAAGCGAGGGGCAAACAGTTTATTCCATAGCTGGGCCCACTTTTGAGAAGTCCCCAAACCACGTGATATGAGACGATTTTTGGGTGGAGTGAAAAGTCGTCGAGGTGACTTTTGAGTCGACTCAAGTCAACTCAGGTCGACCTCCAGGTCGACCCCCCCCTTGAAGTCGGCGCCACCTGGAAGTCGGCGCCTGTGCAGTGGCCCTCGTGCAGATCGACCTCCTCGTCAACCAGCCCGCCCACTGCTGCAGGTCGGCTGCTCCCCTCACACCCGACCACGAAGTCGGCTCCTCCCAAGCGAGGACGGGACCAACACACAACTCCCGTTGACAGAGTCGACTCAAAAGTCACCTCGTTTTGGGTGGATGAAAAGTCGTCGAGGTGACTTTTGAGTCGACTCAAAAGTCGCCTCGTTTTGGGTGGAGTGAAAAGTCGTCGAGGTGACTTTTGAGTCGACTCAAAAGTCACCTCGTTTTGGGTGGAGTGAAAAGTCGTCAAGGTGACTTTTGAGTCGACTCAAAAGTCACCTCGTTTTGGGTGGAGTGAAAAGTCGTCGAGGTGACTTTTGGGTGGAGTGAAAAGTCGTCGAGGTGACTTTTGGGTCGACTCAAAAGTCACCTCGTTTTGGGTGGAGTGAAAAGTCGTCGAGGTGACTTTTGAGTCGACTCAAAAGTCACCTCGTTTTGGGTGGAGTGAAAAGTCGTCGAGGTGACTTTTGGGTCGACTCAAAAGTCACCTCGTTTTGGGTGGAGTGAAAAGTCGTCAAGGTGACTTTTGAGTCGACTCAAAAGTCACCTCGTTTTGGGTGGAGTGAAAAGTCGTCGAGGTGACTTTTGGGTGGAGTGAAAAGTCGTCGAGGTGACTTTTGGGTCGACTCAAAAGTCACCTCGTTTTGGGTGGAGTGAAAAGTCGTCGAGGTGACTTTTGAGTCGACTCAAAAGTCACCTCGTTTTGGGTGGAGTGAAAAGTCGTCGAGGTGACTTTTGGGTCGACTCAAAAGTCACCTCGTTTTGGGTGGAGTGAAAAGTCGTCGAGGTGACTTTTGGGTCGACTCAAAAGTCACCTCGTTTTGGGTGGAGTGAAAAGTCGTCGAGGTGACTTTTGGGTCGACTCAAAAGTCACCTCGTTTTGGGTGGAGCGAAAAGTCGTCGAGGTGACTTTTGGGTCGACTCAAAAGTCACCTCGTTTTGGGTGGATGAAAAGTCGTCGAGGTGACTTTTGGGTCGACTCAAAAGTCACCTCGTTTTGGGTGGAGCGAAAAGTCGTCGAGGTGACTTTTGGGTCGACTCAAAAGTCACCTCGTTTTGGGTGGAGCGAAAAGTCGTCGAGGTGACTTTTGGGTCGACTCAAAAGTCACCTCGTTTTGGGTGGAGCGAAAAGTCGTCGAGGTGACTTTTGGGTCGACTCAAAAGTCACCTCGTTTTGGGTGGAGCGAAAAGTCGTCGAGGTGACTTTTGGGTCGACTAAAAAGTCACCTCGTTTTGGGTGGAGCGAAAAGTCGTCGAGGTGACTTTTGAGTCGACTCAAAAGACACCTCGTTTTGGGTGGAGCGAAAAGTCGTCGAGGTGACTTTTGAGTCGACTCAAAAGTCACCTCGTTTTGGGTGGAGCGAAAAGTCGTCGAGGTGACTTTTGGGTCGACTCAAAAGTCACCTCGTTTTGGGTGGAGCGAAAAGTCGTCGAGGTGACTTTTGGGTCGACTCAAAAGTCACCTCGTTTTGGGTGGAGCGAAAAGTCGTCGAGGTGACTTTTGGGTCGACTCAAAAGTCACCTCGTTTTGGGTGGAGCGAAAAGTCGTCGAGGTGACTTTTGGGTCGACTCAAAAGTCACCTCGTTTTGGGTGGAGCGAAAAGTCGTCGAGGTGACTTTTGGGTCGACTCAAAAGTCACCTCGTTTTGGGTGGAGCGAAAAGTCGTCGAGGTGACTTTTGGGTCGACTCAAAAGTCACCTCGTTTTGGGTGGAGCGAAAAGTCGTCGAGGTGACTTTTGGGTCGACTCAAAAGTCACCTCGTTTTGGGTGGAGCGAAAAGTCGTCGAGGTGACTTTTGGGTCGACTCAAAAGTCACCTCGTTTTGGGTGGAGCGAAAAGTCGTCGAGGTGACTTTTGGGTCGACTCAAAAGTCACCTCGTTTTGGGTGGAGCGAAAAGTCGTCGAGGTGACTTTTGGGTCGACTCAAAAGTCACCTCGTTTTGGGTGGAGCGAAAAGTCGTCGAGGTGACTTTTGGGTCGACTCAAAATTCACCTCGTTTTGGGTGGAGTGAAAAGTCGTTGAAAGCGAGGGGCGAACAGCTCATTCCATAGCTGGGCCCACTTTTGAGAAGTCCCCAAACCGGGCCTGAGAGGGGAAGTGAAAGCCCCAAGTCTGGGCTTATATAGGAGAAGGTTGCTTTTGTGAATGGAAGTGACGTGGCATGTGTGTGCGTGCGTGTGTAACTCGTATGTCGACTGGTTGGCTGCATCCTCTTTGGCAAACCTCCATGCCCGTCTCTCCTCCATGTGGTTTGCTTCACCTGCGCATCCCATCTCCGCTACTGCTGACACCGGTTTCCGCGCCTCCCTTCCCTCCCACTTACCTGCTCTACCATGTCAACCCCCCCCCATGGCAATAGCGCAGCACAGAGAAAGAAACGACCCCAGAGCCCTGAACTGGTCAGATGTTCACAGAAGCCCGAACTGCCCGAATATCACTACAGAAGCCCAGCCCGAACCCTCACTCACTTGCTCCACCATACCACTAGTACCTAGGCCTAGGCTTACACCCCCCTCCTCACCTGCTTTACCATGTCACACCCCCCTTCGATAGCAGTAGCACAGCGCAGAAAGAGCGACGACCCCCTAGAGCCCGGAACTGGTCACTTGGTTGGCACTCAAAACCTGAGTGATGAGGTTGAACCCGAGTGCCCCTCCTCACCTGCTCCACCATGTCACCCCTCCCCTTCCCGTCAATACCAACAGCACAGCGCAGCGAGAGCGACGGTCTAAGAACCCGGCGGAACTGGTCGATCGGTTGGTTGGCAGTACTACAGCAATTCAGCCCAAACCCGGGCCTTCCTTCTCACCTGCTCCCAATTTCACCACCCCCTATAGCAACGGCACAGCTCAGAAAAAGGGACGACCCCAGAGCTTAGAACTGCTTGGTCAATTCGTGGCTGGTTGGTAACTTGATACTACAGAACCCCGGCCCAAAACCAAGTCACCCTTTCTTTCTCACCTGCTCCACCATGTCACCCCGGCCAATGGCAATAGCGCAGCGCAGTGAGAGCGACGAGGCCAGAGCCCAGAAAATACTCGTTTGGGTTTGGTTCCTCCCTTCTCTCTCACCTGCTCCACCATGTCACCCCCGCCAATGGCAATAGTGCAGCGCAGTGAGAGCGACGAGCCCAGCGCCCGGAACTGGTGGGCGATCTGCAGAGCGAGCTCCCTGGTGGGCGTGAGGACCAGAGCGAACACGCCATAGGGGTCCTCTGCTAGCTTCTGCAAATGCGGCGAGGAGGGAGTAGGTACAGGCAAGGGGAGGGGGAGAATGCATGTGCGTGGGGGGCAAGCAGAGCCCGGAACTAGTCGGCGATCTGCAGGGCGAGCTCCCTGGTGGGGGTGAGGAGGAGCACGAAGACCCCATAGGGGTCCTCCTCAGCTAGCTTCTGCAAGGGGGGAGCTGGGGCGGGTAAAGGGGTGCAGAAGGAAGACAAAGTGGGTGGGGTGGGGAAACAGGAGTTCCAGAACTGGTGGGCGATTTGCAGCGCGAGCTCCCTTGTGGGGTTGTCAGAACCAGGGCAAACACCCCATAAGCGTCCTCTGCTAGCTTCTGTAGCGAGCAAGGCAGGGGGGCTGGCTTGGAAGGGTGCAGTGCAGTTGCAGTGCATGCAGATGGACGGAAGCGGGTCGCGGAACTGGTGGGCGCTCCGCAAAGCAAGCTTCCTGGTGGGATGGGATGGGATGGGATGGGATGGGAGGCATGACCAGGGCGAAGAGGGGAAAGAGGGTGGGGAGGGGAGAGAGCGTCCCAGAACTGGTCGGCGATCTGCAGAGCAGACAGAGCTGTCAAGATTAGCAGGCAGAAACAGAAATGA